GAGTCAGATGGGTCAAAAAAAATCGGATTTGGGTCGGATTTGCCTGCAGTGTGAACGTAGCCTATTTTTCAAACCAAACAGAATTTCTCTTTTTTTTTTTGACTCATCAAGAGTATTACATCGTTAAATTTTGGCTTACAAATAATACAAAAGCTCAAGTGAAAGTAAAATGGCACCTTGTGTTTGCCGGTTGCATTTGATTACACAGAATTAAAGACTACTCTTATAATCAGAGTAAAAGCATATTTTCTTACTGAGGCCACCAATTCCTGTGCCAGTTCTCCGCTGTAGAGCTCAGATATTCCTTTGACTGCAACAGCATCCAAAATGTTGGCTAAATCAACACGTCGGGTGAACAGTCCAGGGAGGGGGGCCTGGCCGTTGGGGAGGAACAATTCCCGAAATGCAGCCGACATGTTTTGGCCCTTAACTTTCGCCAGAGCTTCAGCTGTAGAGAAACAGGACAGGTAGATGAGGTGGTGATACAGGTTTGTGTTGTTTAATTTAATAAAAGCAGCAGGGAGGCCTGCAGAGCACACCACTGTGTTTTGGAGTCTTTGACAAAGTAATTATCTATAATTACCCAAATCATGAGTAACATTAAATCCATTTTTGGCCACATTTGCTGCCATGGAAATCACATCCTTCCACGGTAACCTGGAAGAACAAAGAGCGTCTAAAACGATCTGTGTTTAACCCCACGTTTTAAAAATACTCAACAGATATTCCACATCATTTCACATTGAATGACGACACACAAGGAAAACCGCTAAATCAAGGCATCCCATTTCCCTTTGTGCTAATAATGTAGCATGAAGACATCCAGAGCAGAATAATTACAGTAATTACAGCTCAACGGCTGGACAACAGGAAATGACTTATTCCTCAGAGAACCTCAGTAATACTTTTACATCTTTACAAACACTGTTTTAAATGTTGAGCATTTGCTATTCTACACAAAACAGGAAACAATGAATAAACTGGCCTATGATATTTAATCCTATAAGAAAATCTGAAAACAAAGAAGACTGACCAATTTAGTTAAAATACAAGGTGTCCATGAAAACTGATATTATTTTGCAGTATATTCTGTAGTGCTCCGCTCAAGTGATTTCAGACTTTACCAAAATGTGTAAGAAAGTAACTCTAAGTTTAATTTAAACTTTCTTTTCAGGTTGAAGAATGAGGTTCACCAGAAATCAAAACACATTTTGTATGTTGTTGTTTTGTATGTTTGTAATGTGCTTTAAAGTGCCTGTGGCACCAAATTTTTGTAATAAATATGAATGTATTTTTGGAATGATAAGATTGAAAACATTTCACAAATAACATTTCATGCTGCTGTGATGAACAGTTGTTGAGATATTTGCATGTGATGTCAAAGGGGAATGTCTGCATTTGAACAGAGCATTGCTACAGTGGCTAACAACCCAGACTGTAGAGAACAATCTGATTTTTCTTTATATTATTTTGAGTCTCTATCAGAGAGTGGTGAAGAAGAGTCAGAGTTCAAACATTATTTTGATAAACAAAAACCAGGGTGTTTCTTTTATAAAAAAAAAAATCCTCTTTGATGTCACTTCCTGTTTCACTTTGTTTGTGCCAAGTTCAAATAAAAGTAGGCCAGTTATGTGATAAAATTGGTAAAATCTCTTGTATTATGCCAAGTTTCTTAAATATAAAGATGCTTTCTTTGATTTTTTTTGTATTTGAAGGACATGCTTGTCCCAGGCACTTTAATGCAGTCAAACAAGAGTGGGGAGCATGCATTTTCAGGAAAAAAAAGAAAAAGGCACTAAGCGGAAAGCAGATTTGAACATGGTACAAAAAACTCAAATTGGACAAACTTGTTAAATGTTTTGTCACATCCGTTTGAATCTCTTGTTCGAATTTGGGTCAATAAATCTGTTATTGTTGAACATATAGTTTGTTTATTTTTGTTAGCCTGGAACATGTAGCTATTTGGGCATTCACATTTTAAATTACGTCTTAATTTGGGACTCCCTATATAAAAGTAGATAAGAGTGTAGGACTTCATCAGACCAGGGTCATGTCTGCAGGTATTATTAGCATATAAAATAGGTAAAATAAAGAGTATTAATAMATGAGTACCTGCCGTACAGCTGGTGTGCCTGGTGCATCCCACTGAGCATGCCTGGAACTCCCACTAGCAAGCCTGACTGAAAGGTAACAACATTCACATTAGTGAGAGTTCAAAGCTGTGTCAAAGACGACGTGTGGCTTTACGCAAGCAGAATAAAGAAGAACTCCTTACATTAAGATCAAGGTTCGTAAGCAGCATGTCCTCGTGGAGGGAAGATGGTGCTGTTTCTCTGAAGTCAATGACTCTTGTCTCATTCTTGCGAATGTCATGCACCAACATAACGCCACCGCTAAACATCAACAGAGCCCATTCAAGTAAGTTGTAGCACCTCAGTGGTAAAGCTGTGTAAATTGAAATGAATGTGATCCAACTTACCCTCCGATACCAGAGGTATGAGGGTGGACAATTCCCAAACAGAGGGCAGCAGTGATGGCAGCGTCGACACTGGACCCCTGCTTCCCCAACACGTCAAACCCAAGAGACGTACACTGAGCTACATCTGTCACCACGGCTCCTTGCTTGAAGACCTGACACATAAAAACAGAACAGCCTAATTGTGAAATCACTCATGTGGGAGGAGTGAGGCAAGTGAAACAACCTGTAATCTCATAATTACTGATTTAAAAGAGCTGTTGCAATGTTGGTCACATAACAGGAAATATCCATACGCCCAAACCTGCGGATCGCCAAAGTAAATCTGCATTATGAGAGCTACAGTGACCCCTGTAGCAAAGGTGAGGCAGGCTGTGATTATGACTGTCATTCCGTCTCGCTGGCAGGCGCAGTCCTCGGTAAAGGGGTCTGTGGTGGTCTCCCGTAGCGACGCAACGTCTTGGCTAGCCAAGTCAGAAGCTGAGGACGGGAGACGCTGGAGACGAGCTGACTTCAGAAACAGATCTGGATCTGAGGTGTACAGAGAGCAAATAAGGACTCAGTCGGTCATTTTACAGCTCACTCCATTAAAATATTTTAGAGAACATAAATTCCAGGCTGGATTGCTGTATTGCATTTTTTTAATGGAATCAGCCAGATTACAATTTTTCATTTTCAACTGATTCAGAATGCAGCTGCCCTATTTTTAACTGGCACAAGCAAAACAGAGCACATCTCACTAGTTTTAGCTTCCATTCAATGGCTTCTGGTTCATTTCCAAATTCACTTTAGGATTTTGTATGTTTTTAAATGGCTCCTCAGCTCTGCCCCCTCTTACATCTCTGATCTACTGCACCCATATGTCCCACAGCGCTGCCTTAGGTCAGCAGATCAGTTGCTTAAACTCAGAGATTACAGATCCGTTTTTRTTGTATGTCCAAAGTTGTAGAATGATCTGCCATGAAAAGTCAGGCAGTCCCCTTCTCTCAGTTAAAAACATACTATTATTCCCTTGCCTTTCACTCTGTTCTCARTCTCAATGTGTATCAGCATTATGAGCATTTCTACTGTTCCTTAGTTGTCACAGTTGKTAACTGTTACTATTATTGTTACTATTTGTCTTTCTTTTCGTGTGCGCTAACCTTTGTCGATCTATGTATCTTATTATGTCCTATATCTGTTTTTTTGTACAACACTTCAGTTGACCTTGTGCTTATGTAAACAGTTTGTTAGATAAGTAAAATAATAATTTAACAGAAAATAATGCTTATCTTCACACACTTTTGATAGCATCTGACACGGCCAAACCCACCTGTATCCTGCTCACTCAGGACGTTGTCATCATCCTTTCGAGACTTCTGTGTGGTCTCTCCAGACATCGTGTCGTCCTCTGGCAGTCTGGGGAAGCTGGTGATGCTCATGTAGTCCACCGGGGAGTAGGCGCTTCCCAGCATTGTCTCCGGATTGGCATCCTTATCCACCACACTTCCACCTGGGTACCCAGCCACACTTTCCTGAGCAGGGTTGTGCATGACTAGTCTTGATCCCTGCAGTCACAGTTACCTAAAACCTTGTGATGTGATGTGATGTGATGTGAAGAGAGGTAACTAAGCCACAATGTCCATCTTGCTCCTTATTATGATGTTGAGGTGTCGAACAGAGGATAAATATCCGGGCTTGCCCTTTAAGGATGATGCTGGATCAGTTCTTTGATTTCACGAAAGGAATCTCCTGTTGAGATCTGGAGTTTCACCCTTGGCATTATGGCACATACTGCAGTCGTCTGCTATCTTTAGTTAAAACATCTGATGATGCATTTTCATCCACCTGCAGCACAAGRCAGTGAAACCATGCAGACGGACTGGTTTAACAACAAGAGGAATTTACTTAAGCTAACAAAAAGCTTTTTTTTTTTTTTAAAAAAAGCATTAGCATAAAACAAACGCCGACATGCGGTGCTGTGTTAGCTCTGAATTGTCTACAATGCAGCATTATTTCTTGTAATACCCGAACAGACAGAGCCAATGGAGAGTGGGGGGATCAGGTGTTGTACGAAATCCAGTTCCCCTGTGTAAATCTGTTCCCCCCTACTGGTTAACCTTAGACAGAAACACGGGTCCAGGCCTTCCAACACAAGGGGAACAGATTTTCACAGGGGAACTGAATTTCGTACAACACCGGCTAATTTCCTGTCCTGTTTATTTATCCACCACGGCTACAAGCTAACCACATATAAATAACTCGGTTTTTACTAGCCTAAATCTGTGCTAATGGTACTTACCTTTGCTGTGACGTACATATGTTTGAATAAAAACCCTCCTCGACGGTGTAAAGTGCTGTTTTAAATAAAGCAGGTGAGATGAGGAGACCGAGCTACCGATTCACTCCCGACCAGAGTAGCAGCCTCACTGAAGTTAGCTTCGTATCAAATATCATGACGACAAGGTAAGACTTGTATTCAAGACGCCTGGAATCACAACACACTGTAAAAAAAAGTACATTTAGGTGATTAAAACTAAAATTATAAACATTCTACTCTAAAACCGCACAGATGCTTAAAGGCTCAATTAGTCACCTCAGTCCAAATAACAAACTTGCTTCGCTAACCTTTTAAAGAGCCATTCAAACCATCCCTGTTGTTGCTGGCTAAAAATAAACACACATTTCCTCTTCAGTGATCAGTAGACAAACTCCGTTCAAGCCCTTCTTGTCTTTCTCCCTCCAAGAACAGGTGAACTGGAAAGAGTGGACAAACAGGTCATGGCAGGTGAACAGAAACAAACTTCGTCCCTCCCCTCAAACCTCTTTGTCTTCTTGCTCTGCCGCCTGCTAATAGCTGGGAGAAGACCTCAAATGTGACACTTTACAAAGGGTTTTATATATAGTTATTTGCTTTGCTTTTCTATATTTACAGCAGAAGATCAGTAAAAAGAGAGCATGCGATCCTAAACATTCTGCTGTTTTGTTTTATGTCAATTTCTTTCATTGTTAAAGCTTCTATTATATAGAAGGGTTTCAAGTGTAAGATAATCTTAGCACAAGAGTACAACACCCAGATTCAGACCACAAAGATTATTTACACTTGATTACCACACCCAGCTCTTTGCCTCATGAATGTTCATCACTTCTCTTTATAGTATTTACTGTTCCTACAAGTACAAGTAGTACCTTTGTCATTAAACTAGCTACTGTGTAAAAGTGAAACTCTTACTTTTGCTGTGGTTAGGCTCACTAACTTCAAGACTTTATTGTAGTTTTAGGTGGTCCTAATTAGATCTCATGGCTCTTCTGAAGGTCTTTACATTGGCTGCTTTTCCTTTCATTATCGTCTAGTTCAGAGGAGCCCAAGGTGGGGCCCGTGGGCCACATTTGGCCTGCCAAGCTGCTTGATTTGGCCCACCAGCAGTTGGCATATACAGCGGGTAAAATAAGTATTGAACACGTCACCATTTTTCTCAGTAAATATATTACTAGAGGTGCTAATGACATGAAATTTTCACCAGATGTTGGTAACAA